ACCTGTACCATAAAGTAGGTATCACTTTTTTTTTAATGCCTACAGCACCTGGTAGGTATTTTTTTTAATTTATTTTTTAATTATAGTTGACACAATATTAGTTTCAGGTGTACAACATTGTAATTAGATATTTACATACCTTATAAAGGGATCACCCTGCCGGGTAGATAGGTATTACTATTATCCCCATTTTACTATGAGGAAACTGAGGCACAGCGAAGTACTGTAAACTTGCACCTAGGCAGCTGGCTCTAGTGTCCATCCTCTTAACTGCCACACACACTACATGGAAGGTTATTACGGAAGTAGGGAGGAGCAATATTGAACCTAGGAACCTCTGGAAAGCCCTGGAGGGTTGGCATGACCTTCTGGGTGCTGTGGTTTCTGCCCTCATTTTTGGCTTTTGGGCTCTGTTACAGGGAAATAGCATCAGGGGGTCCAGAGGCAGCTGACTTCTCTGACCGACTATCCTTAGGGAGCAGCAGGGACTCTGGGTGTAAACGAGGGGCCCTGCTGGCTCAGGCCTGCCAGGACCTCCCCAGCATCCGCAGCTGCTACCTGACTCACTGCTCACTGGCCCAAGCCAGCCTGCTAGCCTCTCAGGCCTTATACCGAAGGGAGCTACAGCGAGTCCCAGCACTACTGCTCCCCTTGCCTAAGGGGCCACTGCTGCCCACCGACTGGCCTTTCCTGCCATTGATCCACCTCTACCACCAGTCCTCAGACACCCCCACCGGGTTCCCTGCTGCTGACACTGTGGGCACAGCCATGCGGGCCCTGCAGTGGGTGCTAGTCCTGGAGAGCTGGCGCCCCCAGGCCCTCTGGGCTGTGCCCCCTGCTGCCCGCCTGGCACGGCTCATGTGTGTGTTCCTGGTAGACAGTGAACTGTTCCGGGAGACCCCAGTACAACATCTGGTGGCAGCCCTCCTGGCCCGGCTCTGCCAGCCTGAAGTCCTGCCAGACCTCAACCTGGATTGCCCACTTCCTGGCCTGACGTCTTTCCCTGACCTCTATGCCAACTTCCTGGAGCATTTTGAGGCTGTCTCTTTTGGGGACCACCTCTTTGGGGCTCTGGTACTCCTTCCCCTGCAGCGGCGGTTCAGTGTCACCTTGCGCCTCGCCCTCTTTGGGGAGCACGTGGGAGCCTTGCGAGCTCTGGGCCTGCCTCTGACTCAGGTACTTTCTCAGCCCAGCAGAGCCTACCATGGGCATTCTGTACTGGGTCTTGGGGACAATCTTGAGGAGTAGGGAGCTTTGGTGGGCCTCAGGTTTCTTATCAGGGGCACTGAAGATCGGGTAGATTTGGATTGTTGAGGAGGAAGGACAGAATGTACCTAGTGGAACAGAATAAGTAAAAGCTCAGAGGCAAGAATGAATATAGCAGGTCGGGAGAAGGGAGCAGTCTAGAACATATTTCAGTTTGGGAACTTGGAAACAAGGCTAATAAAGTCCTAGAGGACCTCAAATATCAGGTTGAGTTAAATTTATAAGCTGTAAAGAGCTATTTTTTAAAGGCTGGATTTTGAAGTTTTTCTTATAATGTATTCTGGTAAACTTAAAATATAAATATTTTAATATATAAATACATTTAACATGTGTATATAAGATATATTCTATTTTATATAAAAAACTAAAGTATAAAATATTTTTGAGAATTAAAAAGAACATTAGAGTCACCATCATCCCACTGTCCAGTGGTAACCATTTTGATGTATCTTTTTCTAGTCTTTTTTATGTGCATATGTATTTTTATAAAATTGGAATCACTGCATAATGTTTTCTTTAACATTTTATTTCTAAGAAATCATTTTTTATTATTTAATAACCCATTTTTTAGGTGTGCCCATGTTTATTTTAACAGAATCCCTCGGTGGGCATTAAAGTTGTTTCTGATTTTTTGCCATTTTAAGTAGCACTGTGATAAACACTATTGGACAATTTTATTTCTAGTTCTCTCTTAATAATTTCTGCAGGGAATTAAGAATAATTTTTTAGAAAGAGAATTACTAGTTCAAACAACATGAACTTTTGCAAGGTTTGATAATATAATTGAGCAGTTGAACATGACATTTTGAAAGTTTTCATTTTAAGTAGATTAAACAAGTTGTGGTAGGAAGTAGAAATGTACAACTGCTTCTCAGTTTTTGCTGTTTTCCAGCTCCTTAGTCTTTAACCTTGATCTTTCTGATAGAGAGGGAAGGATGTCTGTCCAGGACCTGACCTTTGCCCTCATGATTTGATTCATGTGACCATTAACCATCCACCCTGTTGTCTGGTGATACACATTCCAGCCCTCACCCTCAGCATATCTCATCTTCCTTGTCACAGTTGCCTGTGTCCCTAGAATGCTACACACAGCCTCCTGAAGACAACCTGGACCTCCTTCAGCTCTACTTCCGGGCTTTGGTTACTAGTGCACTCCGTCCACACTGGTGCCCAGTGCTCTATGCCGTGGCTGTGGCTCATGTCAACAGCTTCATCTTCTCCCAGGACCCAAAAAGCTCAGTAAGTTAAATTGCCATCTCCAGAGGGAGAAAGGGAGCCTGCAGTTAAGCTGCCTCTGGGCCAGCTGGAGAGTAGGTGAGGGCCAGGTAGGGCCAATGATAGGTACCAAGCCTTGACCCAGTGCCACTTCTCCCTCTTCTGCCTCTAGGATCAGGTAAAGGCTGCCCGTAGGAACATGCTGCAGAAAACTTGGCTTCTGGCAGATGAGGTACGGTGGGGCACATCCTGGAGGGATGGTGGGAAAATAGAGGGCCTTGGGGGGACAGAGATCTCAACAGAATCTCACTCCCCACTTCATAAAGTTTCTTCTCTCTTTGCAGGGTCTCCAGCAGCACCTCCTCTACTATAAGCTTCCTAATTCTTCCCTTCCAGAGGGCTTTGAGCTATATCCCCAGTTGCCCCCTCTGCGTCAGCAGTACCTCCAGAGACTGACCTCAGGGATGCCCCAAAATGGCATCAGAGACCTATAGCTGCTACAGATGAAGAGATGGATACATCCTCCAGGGGTTCACCAACAGAAACCTGGCTAGACAGCAGCACTTGTATTCTAAGGGTGGGCAGGAGGCAAAGGAGCAGAAGGCTTGCCTTCCTGGAATCAGGCTGTTTGAGCTTTTTTGGAGCAGGGTAAGCCCTACCTTTATATCCTAATATCTAGAGCTCAGGATCTGGGGCTTCTGAGGGTCTGTGCTGAGAATGAAGGGTGACTTAGCTATTTACCCCCTGTTGGGGACAAGACAAACTAAGTACACCTCCTTCTTCCCCCTACCCACACCCCAGGCTAGGATATAGGAGTGCTATAGCTATGCACTGAAATAAACAGATTTTTTTTATCTCCTGGAAATCTGATTTGGACTGATTTCAGATATGTTAGTTCAAGGTTGATATGAAGGGTTGGGTTATCTAAGGAGAGAAGCATGAGAGAGATGGGGGAGGAATTATGAGTGGGAGGTGAAAACTGAGTTTACATCTGGACACAACTAAAATGTGGATCCCAGTTCTGGAGTAGAGGCAGGCCAGGGCAATGCTCTTGAGAATGGAACCACTTCTTGTGAAGGACTCTCTTGGCAGTCCCTGTGAAGTATAGGTATCCTTAATGAGGTCTTTATTTCCTATGGTCCCTTATTTATCTCTTAATGATCCCTTATTTCCATAAACTGCTATCCTAAGACATGAAGGAGCCATAAATCAGACTGGTACAGTAGACATTTGTCTTATCCATTTGGGCTGCTATAAAAATACCGTAGGCTGGGTGGATTATTAACAACAAATTTATTTCTTACAATTCTGGAAGCTGGAAAGTCTAAAATCAAGGTGCTGGCAGATTTGATGACTGGTCAGGACCTGCTTCCTAATTCATAGCTTTCACATAGCAGAAGGGACAAGGAAGCTCTCTGGGACCTCTTTTTATAAAAGCACTAATCCCATTCCACCACTGAGGGTGGAACTCTCATGATGTAATCACTTCCCAAAGGCCCCACCTCCAGATACATTGGAGGATTAGGTTTCAACATAGGAATTTGTGGGGACACAACCGTTCGGTCTATAGCATTGTCCTACGACACCCCTTCATTATGGACTTTATTGGTGATAGGCAAAGGCTAGGGAGGAGTGGGTCAAAGCATAACTGGTTTATTGGTTCATCTCTTTTTGATAGCGTTTCTCACACTTAAGGTTGGTGTCATTTGTTGTGTGGAATTACTTATCATTGTGTTTACAGATCGTCAGAGTGTGGTATGCCTTGTCAGGAGGTATAGAAAACCTACTCCCCATAAATGGAGCTGCTGAAGACAGAATTATGCAATAGGTTTTATTAAGCAACTACTATATCTGCAAACACTAATAGTTCTCAGACTTACGATGTGACAAAAATCACCTGGAGAATGAGTTAAAACAGATTGCTGGACTCTACACCAGTGTTCCTGATTCAGTAGGTCTAGGGTGGAACCCAATAATTTGCATTTCTAACAAGTTCCCAGGTAATACTGATGTTACTATCTGGGTTCAATCATACTTTGAGAACCATTGGCTTACAGGGACCTTGCAAACTAAATTCTGTGACCTCATAGTAGAATATCTGTAGAATTAAATAGGGCATAGGTACCAGAGTTTTTACAAAATCACTGTTGTGTCTACATCTAGCCATATATACTCAGAGACTTTACCAAGTAGCAAAGTACTACTATACCTTCTTTTTTCCCAGTGTTTTATATTGAAAATAGGCGTCAGCCTTTAAAATTAGTATTTTGAACAAAAGAGTAAGGAAGACATCTGAAGCCATCTGAAAGCTGAATGACCCTCAGAGTTGTAGGGTGCCTTGTGGTTTACAGAGCAATTTCCCTTTCTATGATTTTGTAGGTAGTGGGGAAACTCAGAATATTTGTGACTGTGCACCATCACCCATTGACCAGGGATGCTAGTACAGTACTAGCACTCAGATATGACCTCAGGATCCAGGCTTTCACCCATCACAATAAGTTGTACAGAGTTAACAGGCGATGGAATTGTATGAGGTGAACCAGGACATCCATGGTTCTGAGGGTGTCGGGAAGTGGAGACTTGCAGTCACAAAGTTATTGAAAGACAAGTAATGGCAAGTAATGATGCCTTACTTGAGACAGTTTAAAGAGCATTCCCCATGTGTTATCACTACCGCCAACATTAAGGAAGTACACATACACACCCACTGCTCCTGATGTGAGAGACCAAGAAGTCCATGTAGGTTTTTTTCCTTTTTTTTTTGCTTTTTTTGCCCATGTAGGTTTTTAGGGATGTTGCTCTCTACTTTCTCATGGTGTTGCCTCAAAAGGGTGGGGGCACTTCCCTACCTCTGACCCCATTCCCTGGGGCAGCCAGTAGCAGACCCAGTGGCTGGAGACTGAGGTCTTGGGTAGGGGTCTTCACAAGGCTCTTCCAGGAAGCATGGGGACCTCTCTGCTCACATTCTCTGCCCATCCCTCCTTCAGCATCCTGGAATCTGAGGTGAGAGTGGCCACGACGGCGGCTTTAGGGCCCCATGGTGTCTAGCAAGCGGCTTGACATCCATATAAACAGCAGTTGGGGGCCGAAGTGGCTGGGTCTGAGCCAGCAAACCTAGCTACCTGGGAAGACTGGGCGATGGGCCTCTGTGACCAGTTTCTGCTGGGCTTGGAGCTGCGGGAATGAGCTTTCCAGCAGTCAGCAAACTGTCCTGCCAGAGACTTGGCTTCCTAGGCTTGGGGACAGCAGTCAAGACAGACTGGGTCCCAATGGCTCTTTTTTGGAGGTCTTGAACCTTACGGCCAATGCTCCAAGTGGGTGCTTGAGAAGTGCGGACCAAGAAAAACTCGGATCACACAGCTCGGAAAGGAGGGACAGGCCTTGGGGTCTCCGCACTGCCTGGGGGCGGGACCTCCAAGCTAAGTCGAGGAGAAGATAGGGGAGAGCAGCTGGCTGCAGGACCGAGCTCAGTGCGACTCCCGTCATTTGCTGGGAGGGGCTCTCCGGGAGAGAAACTTCCAGAGGTATCAGAGGGCACCCCGCAGGGCTTGGACAACCAAGGTTGGGTTGGGGCTGGCTTCCGGGCTGTAGGATAGGGTAGGATTAGGGGCGTGGCCGCAAAAGGCAAGGTTGGCTATCAAGAGAGGTTCTCTCTATTTCTTCATCCCCGATTCCCCATTAATAACCTGCCCCCACCCCCAACCACGCTGTCTCCCTGTCACCTTTCAGGAGCCATCCTTTGCTCCAGCTCCCGGTCCGAGGCTCCTTTTCTGTTAAACTCACGCACTCCAGCTCCAAGCCCCCAGGACACAAACGTCACCACTCTGCCCAGAGGCTTAGAGCCTGCCACTTCCCTTATCCCCTCAATGAGCTGCAGGCCTCTTCCTCTCTTGGATCACTATACCTGGTGGGGGCAGGTGCTCTCTGACCCCTTCCTCCCCTCCTGCTCCCCGACACTGGGGTGGCTTTGGCAGTTCTCCATCTGCGAAAGGCGTGGGCCCACACACAGTGCGACTGGGTGAACACCGGCAGCAGTGTGGTGGTGAGTGTGGCTGCCAGGCCTTTGAGAGGCACTCAGTTGTGGTGCCAGGCCCCGGCCAGTACCTGTAAGTGTGTAGCAGGGATAGAGGTGGGTAGTGACCTGTGAGTCTGAGATTCTACCGTCAGAGCAAGAAAGGCCATGTGCGCATTGCATCTTAGGGTATTCCGCAGCAATGTGTGGCCCTGGTGACTTTCTCTTTTCAGCAGAACTCGGGAGAAGGGCAGCAATAGTCACCACCGAGTTAGTCCATATCCAGGAGTCTGTTCCTACCAAGCAGAGGACCCCTAACCCACGGTGGTGCCAAGGTATAGCTTGAGCTTTCCCCCCATCTCCATTAAGCCCCTGAAAAAATAAGTGTAAAGTCTAATGTAGAGTGCAAACCTAGTCTCCTTCCTCCTCCTTTCATAATTGACTACAGCCTCTTAAGTCCCTCAGATAAGAAATTCTGGATCATGCCACCCTGAACATGCCTGATCTCAGAAGCTAAGCAGGGTGGGGCCTGGTTATTACTTGGATGGGAGACCACCTTGGAAAACCTAATGCTGTAGGCAGAAAAAGAAGAAATTCTGGAGTCGCCTATGTCACCATCCTCCGCCCTAGACAGGTGGCCCCAGGACCCACGATCTAGGGCCCGGAACTCAGCACCCGTTTTCATCAGGATCTCAACCTATGGAGAGGCGGGCGGCAAAGGTGCCAAGAAATACTTGTCAGGGGCGCATGGCATCTTCCTCTCGGCGGTCTTCTGCCTTGGGCATGGGGAGCCGCTTTACACCCTCATGGGGCAGCAGGGAGAGGACGCCTGTCCCTGAGTAAGTGGAGCCAGTGGGAAGGGGCGGCTCAGGCGCCCCAGGGAGAAGGCTGAGTGGAAGGAGGGGGAGATCCTGAGTGTTCAGACCTTGTCACTACGAGAGGAGGGGCCGGAGCCCAGCCCATGGCG